TTTAAAATAATATTGTATTATTTCAACGAAATCCGATATGCAAAATCTTAGTTCGAATTTATTTTTTCAAATATTTTTTTATCGTCATTTTATTTAAAAAAATATTTTCATACTGAATATTTCTAAAATATTTTACTTCAAATTAATGAAACAAATTCGAGGATCGATTTTTAACGACGTGAATTTGTGATCCAAAAAATTTATAAGTACGGATTCATCTATTTGGGTCCTTAAGCTTCATTTTCTGAATGCACATATTCCTTTCTGATATTCTGATATTTGCAATAAGCCAATTTTTTATCTGGTAATTCCTTACATTTATCCATTATATATTGTTTTATCTATTATATCGTTGTGATCAAATCAAATCACGAAAAATTAGAGCCTTCTGACATAGCAGTGATTACTATCAGAGTAATCTGAACAAAATTATTTGATGAAAGAGAAACGATGGCTTATAAACTTACTATTTTTTTGATTTTCTTATAGGCACCAGGTAGGTAACGAGTGTTGAAGTAACCAAATAAACTCAACTCAACTCAATTTGCTTGAAATGATGATAAAGATTGTAAGATTATAAGATTATTGAATTTGCAAATTTTTGCATGACAATAAAAAAAAAAAAGAATGATGCCGAATTTATAATTATGAATTACTATTATGCAAAAATTTCGGTACTGTTACCGAGATTCTTTATTGAAGGGCTTTGTCGAAATATATCAACAGTTATTTTAAAATCAAATGATTCTTAACATGAATCAATAAGGATTGTTTAGGCAAAATCAGACAAAAATTGTTATTATAAATGATTTTTTTCTTGCATATTTTCTTTTCTAAAATAGATGAATAAAACGAAATGCGAGAAACTTGGATATAATATCGTAAGCAATGATAAAATACAGGTCGACTGGCTGTATTAGTAGAATTACTTTGGAAAAATCTTAGGTGTTCTATTGAGAAAGGCTTTATAATACGACTGCATATCGAAGAGCATATCGTCTTGTTTAACTTAGTGTGAACCTATTGCCATGCATTGCCATGCTGGTCAAACAGTTTCGATCTCATTTTATGAAAAGTGATTTCCCGAGAAAAATACTTTTTTCTGAAAAAATTAAATCAAATCAATTAATCTCAAATCGAAACTGTAAGTAAAAATTAAAGTTAAAGCCATGATGTGGCATAAAACAGTGGATCAACTTTGGTGAAAATGCGGTGAATTTTAAATTCCAATTTTAGTACATTTTTTTTATAATACTTAGTTTCAGAGAGAAAAAATAGCCGATTTATAGACCAAATAAATGCGTAAATGCATATCCGTTCGACGAAAAAACTGAAAATTTAAAAATCCGATTTTTTTAATTCGTATTAAAAATGTTGGCCAAAGAGTTAAATTTCCGCAATTTTCGGGTAGCTGTTTGCCATGAAAAAAGGAAATCGAATGTCTCTAATATTTTCGTTGAAATTTTTGTTCGTCATTTTTTGGTTACCAAATATTTCTTTGATGGCAAAATCGATGCCTCAGCTATTCTCCGATGTTTCATTTTTTATTTTAGTTTCTTAAAAATTATTTCGTAGATAATTTTTTAAAAAAACATCTTATTTCGTCTTTTAAAGCTACACAACTTACTTTTTTAGACAGTTTTTGTTGAATGTATGCATTCAAAAGATTTCTAATCTAAAGTTTATTCTGTCTGCCTGGATTGTTCATTTGCTTCTTCTTCTGGCAGCATTTCGAATTTGGCTGGTTCAAATAATTGCTCGTCCACATCGAGAATACCTTCGTTGTTCTTATTTAAAAAAATTTAAATTTAGAAATTATCTTTAGAAATCTTAAATTATTTATTGGTTCCACATTATTTACCCTGCTTATTATACATTTTTGTAGCAAATTTTTCAAATATTTGATATTTTTATTCGAGCTGAATTAATAATCCTGCTAATTCGCTTCTGTTCACTTTGTATGCTAGCCTGAATACTTTTTATTCTTCCATTTTTCTCTACGCTAATGAAGAGCCTTCAAATTAACTATGCTGGGAGTATAAAGTGTTAGATCCAAACCTTAGGATTATTTAAATTTCCAGAAAATTTTACTTGTTATCAATTTCATCTAGAAAATAACGTCAAATTTTTGGTAACAATAATTTGAAAATTTGAAATTGTTTTTATTTTTCTTTTCTTTCTTCTCACTTCTTTATTGTAATTAATTCAATGCGAAACCAAAATCGAGGATTAAATCTGCTATTTTGCTATTTTGCAGTAATTATAGAAGAACAATCAAATATATATATGACTACTTGAAGAAGGCTTCAATTATATTCACAAATTATGCAAAGCTTCTTCTATTCATTCATTAGCATTTTTTACTTTTCCTTTCTTATCTACAAAGTAATGAGAATCAATGGAATTTTTATAGAAATAAGAAGATCAAGGAATTCAAATTTAGATTTGAATCTATTATTTCTTGCACATTTAAAATTTGTTGAACACAGCTAACGATGTTGAAGCGAATAGTGTCGATTAATAATAAAACATTCAGAAAAAGAGAGCAAAAATTTTGTTAAAACATTTACGCTGATTTTAAATTAAATTTAATTTTATATATATTAACGACTAGTGTGTAATAATTTTTAATGATCAAATCCAATGTAGTTGATTAGCATGAAAAACGGTCATTTCAAACGGTCATTTAGCACATGGCGTTGTCGCCCTGCTTGGCGGGTTATCAATAAATAAATAAATTTCAAGCGATATTCTCGCTAGGAAAAATTTTTTTCGTTGTTTTCCATTGTAGGATTTTTTTTGTTTTTTTTTTTACATTTTTTTAATGACTAATTAATAACAGTAAATTTCATCATTTTAAATGGATTTGAGAGTTTTTTCATAATTTATTTTCTTTCTTTTATAGATAATCGTCATAGGATTATATTATATATTATATCATATTTCAGTGAGGCACTTACCGATACTGAAATCATTAATAAATTGCTCGACAAGGGATATGATTGGAGAATTCGCCCACCGGGAACGAATCTTAGCCTTCCAGGTTTATTAAGAATTCGAAAAAAAACCATTCAAAATAGCTCTTTCTTTTTATTACAATAATTCACATAGTTCTCAATTATTTATTTATGCCGTCCTTTAACTATCACTTTTATTATACGAAAATTGCAGGAAGTCACGGACCCGTTGTTGTAGCAGTGAATATGTTGATTCGAAGGTAGGCTTTACTTATTTATCCGATAATAAGACCAGCTGCACGCCTGATCTTGATCCATTCACGTTAAATATGTTGTCAATAACATTAAATACACTGTTCGCTGCTATAATCGACGGTCGTATGAACGCTTTTGCCACAGAGTTTTGGGGATGGAAGAAGAGGTGAGTCCCGATTTCACTTTTAACGACAAATTTATTCTTGTCAAGAGGCAGGAATCATATCCATGATGATTGAACTTAGTTGAAACAATATACCACTTAGCCATCGTTTTTCATCTAATACAACAGTTGAAATCCTTTTCATTTTATTTTCCTCACTTTCGGCCAAAACAATTCGTCCTTCTAGTTCAAATCGATCAAAAGGTTAGAATAAAATAAGCAAATAACCAATCGTCATTTATAATTTTTTAAACCTCTCTATTAATTTATGCAAATATTCGGAAGAAATTTCAGTTAATTTATGAAATTATCAAAATTGGTGTCAATTGAATTTGGCAGAGAATATTCCATGAATAATTCAAAACATAGCGCCAATTTCCTTTTTGCTTTTATGAAAGAATCCCTTATTTAAATATGAAATAATCAACAGTTTTTATGACTAATTTTGATTTTGACCAACATTTCGAATTCTCAATTATAATTACTAAAATTTTTTTTAAAATAATATTCAAACGTAAATTCATTTCGATGTTTACAACGATTTTGAGTAATAATCAGTTGAAGTATGAGGAAGGATTCATCGAATATTCAAATTCCGTCAAAATTCTATATTCTAACTTTTTAAAGGAATATTTATAGAATTCTTCTTAGCCATTCCACAGATTTAACGGAAACAATCGTAGTGTGAAAAAAAAAAGATAGTCGAATTTTCCTTTCGCCTAAATTTGTTTTTTGTTCTAAATGACATAAATTTTTAAATGTACAATATAATATAAAAGATAGTATGGCCGAGTGGTGTATTGTTTAGATTATCATTTCAAGCATTATGGTTTGATAGGCCAAAGATGTCATTAAAAAGTGAAGTCTATGTGGTACAACCTACGTGTACTTCTATACCCAATTGACTCCTTGGCGAAAGTATCTCATGCTAATAGCCAATGAAGCGAACTTAACCAGGAATGGTGAATGGTTTCTAGCCAGTAATTAAAAACGTACCATATAATCGAGATCATAGATTTGATTTCGTAGATTTAGAAAATACATTTGTTTTTATAAAAAAAATGCAATTGTCGGATTCATTTCTGTGCCTGAACTTGGTTAATTTTTCATTTACAATTTGTGACTGAAAATTTGAACGATATATCAAAAAACTCCAGCGAATTTACGTTGTTTTCTAATTCGCCGAATACAAATTTGGTTCAAATTTTCTTTTAGTTAATGTAGTTTATCGCTTATTCTTATTATTATTATTATTTTATTAAATAATTTGCTGCAAATAGGCTTTATTCAATGTAAGAATATGGCAAATAGTGTATAGCATTATCTAACAACGAGAATAAAATAACTTAATTTACCCTTAATTTACCCACTTTACCCTTAATTTGCTAGTGGAAAAACTATTTTTTGCGAACTCCGCACTTATCGAATTTGCCACCTTGTAATAATTTCGACTTCATGGAATCAATCAACAGATGAAAAATTAGAAATATCTGTTAAAAAAAAGCCTTAGCGAATTTTTCCGACCTTTAATCGTTTTGTTTTCTTTCATTTCATAGTTAATTTTTGATTATTTTGTGCCAAAGAAATTTGGTTTCGTTGAAATAATAACAACAGTTGGAAAAAAAATGAAGTTGCAAGAATTTATATTCAATCAATTCAGATTTGAAATAGCTTATTTTTTCAGTATTTCAAAAATTGATGATGTAAATATGGAGTATAGTGTTCAGTTAACTTTTCGTGAAAGCTGGGTTGATGGACGACTAGCATATGGCTATCCGCGTGACAATAAACCTGATTTCTTAATTCTGCCTTCAGGTCAACAAATATGGATGCCAGATTCTTTCTTTCAGGCACGATTTTTAACAAAAACTTTTAGACTTGCTAGCAGCAAAAATCATTTTTATTAATATTTTTATGTCAAAATGTCCATTAAAATCTTTGTTAGCCATAATTTTCATTATCATCTTATTTTAGAATGAGAAACAAGCCCAGAGGCACATGATCGATAAGCCGAACATATTGATAAGAGTCCATAAAGATGGAACAGTATTGTATAGTGTTAGGATATCATTAGTTTTATCATGCCCTATGCATTTGCAAGTGAGTTATTTTAAATTTTACTTAGATTCGTAAAAATAGCATTTAGTCTTCTAACGAAAATTTCATGCTTTTGCAAAAGTATTTAAATTCTTTGAAAAGTTGGAGAAATTCTTGGAAATGAAAAGCATTTTATTGAGTTAAATACTTTTTATATGAAAATATTATAGTCTATGATATAATGCTTTAAATATTGTTTCCGTCCTTAATAGCAGATTTTCGCCATTAAAATTTATTAGCAAATAAATTAAATAGATAATTATGTGTGATAAATTTTTAGTATTATCCGATGGATATTCAAAAATGTTTGATTGATTTAGCCTCATATGCTTATACAACCGATGATATAGGTTAGTTTCGTTTTCATAAGACTTATCCATGAAACTTAGCAATATCCTTGCAGCTTTTCTTTTTTTTTCCTCAATACCTATCGACATCGAATATATTATGAGCGATCAAATCTATCGCAAAATTTACATCGTAATTCATCAAATTGTGTCGGTGAAAATTCAATAACTTGATCTAAGTTCGATGATGGAATCGTTAAAATTTTCTTCGCACTTTTATTTGGATTTGGATTTGCTTCAATAATTAAAGATAATGGTGTAATATTAAAAAATGATATATTTGACACAGTTAAATTACTTGAAAATCAATAATCCATTTCTTTTCTGGTAATAATGAATGGTGAATTTTGCCTTTTTGCTTTCTTAAAACGCTCATCATTTCTGGTTAAATTCGTTCTACTGGCTTGTCATATTAGGCAAATTTTGCGAAGAGTAATTTGGCGATAGAAGTATAAACCAAGTGGAGTCGCCAAGATTTTTGAATGATAGGTTTATTATTTCCAAGTATACCAACCATCTAATCCGAAATGAGAGCCACTCTAATAAATAGTAAATAAAATATAATAATTTATCACACAATTATTGAACAAATTTATCATCAGCATTGATGGTCGAGATTACAGAATACGTGTGGAAATCTACTGATCCCGTGCAATTGAAGGATGGGCTTCATTCATCATTGCCTAGCTTTCAATTAAATAATGTAACTACAACATATTGCACTAGCCAGACGAATACTGGGACTTATTCATGTTTGAGGACAATTCTGGAATTGAGGAGACAATTCAGGTAATAAGTGTAATTCACATTTCCCATGTATACTTTAAAATTATGCATAGAATTTATACAATATGATTTAAATTAATCTAAAATTTCTTACAATATATTTTAAAAAAGTTCGTTTTAAAATTGGTGTCAATTTTTATACAGTGGTTCCATTCTTTTATGTTTACTATTTAGTATAAATTTTTTATTATGGTTCCAGAACTTCCTTGAAATAATTTTCAGTAGTATCAGCGAGGGGAAAGTATTTAAACTATGGAAACGCATAATGAAGATGAGTATATAATTTAAAATAGGCCATTCAATCTCCTTTTCCCTCTAACAGCATTTCGCTCGAGGATTTCTAGCTTGGCTGGTTCTATTAGCTACTAGGATGAGGTCTTCGCTTGAATCCTGATTTCTATTATCGAAGAACTTGATTCGCCTTTTACCACCTTGAACTTTTGAAGACCTCAATTTATCCTTTTTATTATCACCAAGAAATACCAATGAATTCAAATTCTATAAATTTTATTATCACCAATGAATACCGATGATAATATTAAAAATAGTAATGGAAGAAAATAATTGAAAAAAAATTAGTTCAGTAGCTTGAGCTTCAATGCCAAAAATTATTCCAAAAAAATTATAATTTGCAATTTTCAGTTATTATTTGCTTCAATTATATGTACCAAGTACCATGCTTGTTATTGTTTCTTGGGTATCTTTTTGGCTTGATAGATCCGCTGTACCTGCCAGAGTTACTCTTGGAGTGACGACCCTTCTTACTATGACAACACAGGTTCATTTACTTATTTCGCGATCATAGTTTTAGTTTTTTTGATAAATAGTTTCTTCAAAACTAAACGATAAGAAATAAATGGTTAGCCGTTCATCAAGTGGTTTATGATTATGATTAAGATAGCTCTACATGCTTTAGTTTGACCAGAATTTGGAAATATAGGTGGATTGCCGGATTACTTTTCTTTGATAGCGGATTTATTCCTGTTGAAGCATAGAATTCACCGTCATATCTATTTTTATTACTAAAAAAATTTTTAATTCATCATTATAACTTATTTTTAAAAAATTTGATGATTTAAGTCATCGGGTATAAACGCAAAATTACCACCTGTTTCCTATACAAAGGCTATAGATGTGTGGATTGGAGGTTAGTTATTAAATTTTAATATTCTATTAAATCGCTTTTCATATTTATAATTAAATTTTCTCGATGGAAATTAATCGATTTGGCTCTATAAACTCTAAATTTTATTAAATCTTCTGTCCAAGCTGAATTTTGCAGCTATTTAAAATTTGGATAAGTTTAAGTGATAGTCGGTGATTCTTTATGATTTGCACACTCCAAGAATCTTTCCAGTATAAATTTTTATATTCATATTTTATAATTTTTAAACCTTTCCTAAGGGTTTATTTCGATTTTAGCCTGTTTAACATTTATCTTTGGTGCATTGCTAGAATTCGCGTGGGTCACATACATTTCAGCTCGAGATTTTCACAAGGGTACTTAATTTTTTTATTATTGGAATATATTTTAATTTGCTATCGTTTTTGTCGTTGCATATTCTATATTATTATACTTAAATCCCAATGCTCTTTTATTCTGCAATAGTATAATAGTCTTTGCTTGCATTCTTTTCTAAATTTGACAAGTTTTTAAGTTTCAGTAAACATTTTTTAAAAAATTTTTTGAAAATTGATATATTGATTCGTTCGATGAAAATTTGTTGCCTTCCTCAGATATTTTTTTTCTTTTAGGTGCCAAAGAAAATAAGACAAGAAATTTGTTATTAGCCACTCATACAATGCCAATGACGCACATTTTAATGCCTGATAAAATTGTTAGTTGTTTTTCGCTTACTTCATTTCAGACTTTCAGGAAGCATTAAGCAGTAGAGAATATTATTGAAATTTTTTATTTCACGAAATTAAATGATTTTCGAGAGAAAATCGTCACACGAAGGATATGATTCTTTTTAACGTTATTTATTTAGTTGCTTGAAATTTGATTAAGTTCTAATCAAAAAATTGACTTATTCTGATGGATTTATTATCTTTGAACGATGGATGAATTGTGTTTAAGAATAAATTTATTCTCAAATCGTTTCATTAATCAAAGCAAAAATCCAATGAGAATGAATAAAAAGCATTTTGAAATTTAAAAAAAGAAAAATTCTTTTTCTTTTCTTTTTAAAGATTTTTTAATAAAAACATTTATTTTATATATGGTCGATCCATATTGATAATTGAAAAAACTTCTTAAGCGCTTATCAGTACACAGCATTTAGCTTTAAATTAGACACCGTGGTGATTTGTATTTCACCTTGTTACACCATTTTTTTTTTTTTTTGTATTTACATTCATGGTGACTTCTATAAGTTTCATATTAATATATATTCAATTTTTATTTAACCATTGACAAGAAGTTCTCAACTTTTTGCCGTCAGCCAATTCTCAGAAGAGTAAGGGAATGAATTTCGTACATCCGATTGACGAATGAATTTTTCCAATGACGCTCTTGTAAATACTTTTTTTATATGTTGCTTTTAAAATTTTTTGAGTTTTGAAAATTGCTGCATTTTAATCGGCTGATTTTAGGAAGTTGATGATATTTGGGTGAAGCAGAGAAAGGAAAATGACGAAGAATGCTGTGAGGTTCTTTTACTAAACGGATCATCAAATCGGAAACGGCGACGCAATTGGTTCTTGCATGGTCGTTTTAGTCAGTTGTGGATTAAATGGATCATCAAGTGCTTTCATGCACAAGATCGAGCCAAAAGAGCAGATTATTTATCTAGTAACTTACAATTATATCGTCCCAGGCCATAATACTTCAACTGATCTTATAAAACTGATTAAAAAACATGAGATAAAATGGATCTAATATAGAAAGTCATTCTAATTTGTATTTGATGCGATTAATTCTAAACTATTATTTTTAATATTATTATTTATTATTCTAAATATTATTTTTATATAGTATTATTATATTTATATAGTATTATAGTATTTTTTATATAGTATTATTAACTTTTATAATTTTTTGAAACTTTATGGCCTGGAAGGTACTCAATAAGATTTTTGCAAAATCAAAAATATAGAAAAATATATTTGTAAAATAATCTGTTTTGGCAAAAGCTGAGGATGCAGATGATCGAGTTATTTTGGAACCAAAATATAAGCCAAAATATGTTGAAAATGAGTTCCTCATCATTATCAAAAACAAAAAGCCAAATCGTAGTGGTCGTTAAGCGGCACCTGCGCATCAATTGCTAAATAACTAACTGATAATTGATAGACGAAAGCGTCTTACTTTGATAGTTAGCAGAATATATAGACCATAAACCTTATTAGAAAAAGAGAAATATTTAAAATTCGTTTCTTTAGTGTAATACAATTTAAAATTTTTTCATTCCATTAGTTTTGCGATAGTAGGTAATTATTCTCGAACGTATTAATATAAATATAAAAAATCGTTCCGCTGTGGGTGGTAAGGGATATCCTCAACCTCGACTAGAGGCATGCGAGTTTAAGGATTTAATATCTTGGCTATTCCTAGTATTGCTCTCTTCTGAGCTGAGATCTGAGAGATCTTTGATGTTGTTCCCGGAATCTGTGCCACTTTTTTAGTTCAGGAGCCACTATTATCACTGGGATCACTGGGAACTTCAGTCTTCACTTTCCACGTCTTCTCTAGTTCCTTTTTAGCCCTTGGTATTTTTCTATCTTCTCATATTCCTTCCTAACGTTCGTGTCACTTGGTATTGCAATATATATATATATATATAATTATTATTATTCTTGGAATATTGCTTTATTTAATCTTTATATTTAATATTATTTCTTTTTAACTTCTTCCCACTATTCGCATCAATTAGTATAATTGTATCCGACGCGATAAAAACTTTAGGCTAAATTGATATGCAGTACAAATATACCTAAATTCGTGACAGATTATATCAAATTTTCGATGAATATGCACTTAAATCAAAAATCTTTTTAGAAAAACTCAGTTATTTGTGTGAAAAGAGGTTTTCGAAAACTTATCGTGGAGAATTTCATTAGACGGGAAGACTAAAGTAAAAAAATGTAAAATCTTGAACAAGGCAATGATTATTAGACATACTTTGTATAAACTAAAATTAGTTGAAATCGTCGAATTTAAGTGAATTTATTTGATTTTCTTAAAAGTTTCTTTAATTCTTTCGAAGATCAAATTATGCATTTTTTTTATTGTGGAACTTTGTTATTTTCCTTTTTTAACAGTTAATAAATATTAATATTTTAAGAAAATTAATAAAATTTTAATTTAAATAAAAACTTTAAGTTAAAACTTTATTTTTATGCTGTCAAATTTCAAGAAAATTTCATTTCAAAAATTAAAGTATTTTTTTTCAATACAAAAAAATTTTTTTTGTTTTGTTTATTATTTATTTGCAATTTTTGTGTTTTTATAGTTATTAAAAATTTAAGAATAAATATTCCAATAAAAATTAAACTCTATTCCAATAAAAATAATGTTTATAGTAAAATATTTTAGGAAAAAAGTTAGTCGCAATATTTTTATATTATTTAAGATTTCTCGATGGATTTTGATATGATAATTTAACTTTTCTAGGATTCGTCTTTCCGCTATTCTTCTTCATTTTCAATTGTATATATTGGCTGCATTATTGGCAATATGATGCATCAAACGTGTAGCGAACGTGATGTGTTCAATTTATCGCACTATTTTTGCACAATATCAAAGGCAATTTATAAAAAATATGGGCGATAAATGCAAAAGGAAATGCAAAAGTTCCAGTTATTTAACTAAGTACAGCTGTCATCATATGAGGAAATGAGGCAATTTCCCATATAATAAATACCTCGATGTATCCATTATTGAATGAACAATTTTTGCCAAAAAATCTATGAGATACAATCAAGCAATTTTGTTTCTATGAATAAATTTCACAATTTGGATTCATTTAGGTTTAGTTATGATATGATTTGATAAGGTATAAGATAAGGTATCGAGATTTCTTTTGCATTTTTTCTTGTCTTATTGTATTTACCTGCCAATTTATCATATATGTTATAAATGATCATCAAAATTAAATACTAGTTCTGGCTCTTTAAATAAACCAGTTAATTAATAAGTTTGCATACCTATGGTCTCCTATATAGATATAAATATATATAGAATGATGGCAATAATATAAATTTTATGTTGCTGTTAGCTACTATTCGTATGTTTGTATTGTTGAGCAAAATTTTTATTTACATTGACAAAAAGATTTATTTAATATTTATATTAAAATAGCGATAGTTTAATTATGCGCAGTGTTCGTTTATCTTACATTAAAATATTTTATATGAAATTAGGAAAATTTACGAAAAATAATAATCTATAATTTATTTGAACATTGTAATTTGATATTTCATTAGATTTCGAAAGGAGAAGATCATTTAATAAAAATGATAACAAATTTCGAAATAATGATAATAAACAGGAGACTGTAGAGTTTTTATATTAAATAAATTTTCTTATCATCAAAAAATCAAAACATTTTTTGACAATGAAATTTGTTATCAATTTAAATTAATATAAACATTCGATTTTATGACTAAATAGGCATTTCATGCAAACTTTTTATAAATATCGCACGTATTAATTTAATTTCATTAAAATATATTTCGAAGCTTGTTTTGCTTATATTTAGTTTAGAGTTAAAAAATGGTAAGCCCTTACGAACCAAATTGATCGCAATCTTTTTTAAGCAATTTCTTGATAATTCATTAAATGAAACTTTTTAATCACTGATCAACTAATGTACAATATTTCATGAAATATTTGGTGGTGATCCCGCTAAGCAATCAATGATTATTTTTTTTATAAGTAACCCTAGCAATAACACTAACAACCATCATTGTATATCATCGTTTTAGTGGAGCTGGTTGAATCATTGAATTAACTACCACAAAAAGAATTAAATTTTAGCAATCCGAAATGCATCGATTTCTTAAATTTCAACTGATAATGACGATCGGCTTCATGTTTGTTATTCCATATCATTCATATTATTTCTTGCTTATTTTTATAAGATATATAAATGCCTATCAAAATGAAATCTGATTTTATTTATCACATTTCTAGTATTTATTAATTGGATGGTGTTATTTTGGAATTAGTAATTTTGAATTGAACTTAGTAAGACTACTGAATTCCATATGCAAAATGGTATTTTATATTACTAAAGCGATGTTTCACTGATCCACTGATAAAATTTTCTTGTGTGTTGGTTAATGTTTGAACTAAAAATATTCATTCAAATATAAATATAGGAAGTAAAAATTTCACAGAAGAATTACAAAATTTATAAATCTAACACTGAAAAAAAAAAAAAAAATTAGACGAATTTATCATAATAATTATAAATTCTAGAACAACAGCAGAATTATTCAGTAATGAGGAAATCAACAAAATTATTCAGGAAAAAAAGTATGATTGGCGAATTTCACCGGCGAATGGAGGAATTAGAGGTTAGAAATTAGTTGAATATATTCTGTTATCCGACAAACATAAGTATCATTCAAATAGTAAATGCTTCTATTAATTTAAATAATTATTTCATTTATGAGGAGACTTTAATTGATTAGATTTGTCCATTGAATGCGATTACATTATCAATTATCAATAAAAAACAATAAATAGAAAGAAAAAATGACTGAGAGGAAATTAAGACATCGCCATAAATAAAAATCTAGTGATATTTTATTTATAGCTGGTTTCAAACCTGTTGAAATTGAAGTGAATGTATTGATCAGGAGGTTCGTTTAGTTAATGAAGTCTTAAATTCTTAAAAATAATCATATTCGCTTAAATTGTATAAACCTTAAATTCAGTATTTCGCGCATCGATGATCAAAATATGGAATATGAGACGCAGATAACGTTGCGACAATCCTGGATGGATTCACGTCTCGTATATGGTCAAAACGATGATAACAAACCAGAATATGTTATACTCGATGCAGGACAACAAATCTGGACTCCAGATACATTTTTCCCTGTAATATTTTTTGTTGACGATTTATTAAACTACAAACAACTTTAATAATGATCTTTCATTTATTGCCTTTGTTTTGAACCAATACGTATTCCCTTGAACTGGTTATTTTTATTATTCTTTTTCCTATTTTTTTACAATTTTTCTTTTTCGCTTATTTTTTAAATTTTTCCTACGCCATTATTTTTATTTTTATGATCTGTAATTTTTTTATTTATTTTTCGTCACGATTAATTTTTCTAAATAATTTCAGAATGAGAAGAAAAGTTATAAACATTTGGTAGAAAAGCCGAATTCCATGATAAGACTGTATAAAAATGGAACTATTTTATACAGTACTCGAACAACATTGGTACTATTTTGCGACATGTTTTTACAGGTATTCCTTATTATTTCAAATTTATTTAAAATTATAAAAATAGAGAATATATTTAAAAAAAAATTTGGAAACATAAACATCAATATCGAAAAAATATATGATGAAATAAGCGCACAGCAATTATTGTTTTCATTTTGCAGCAATATCCGATGGACACACAAAATTGCGCCCTCGACATAGCTTCTTATGCGCATACCACAAGTGATATTAGTTGGTCTTATCCTTATTATTTCTGATAAATTATCATATACCAGGGAAATAGTAAATGAAGAGAGAACTATGCTAATTACATCTGTTCTATTAGCAATTTCGTCTGCAAATTCAAGAAAATTGACGAAATCGCTATCGAAATCTGATTTGCTAGAAATATGATGAGTTTTTGAAATATTGTATGGTATAACTTGCAACATTTTTAACTTATAATTATAAACTTTCGATATTGAACATGGAATTAAAATTCTTCTTTTTTTTCACTCGAGATTATATTGTTCTTATTGTCAACGAAATGGAAATTTTTAGCATATTCTTGGAGAGAGGAGAATCCTCTCCAGTTGAAACAACATGCATTAACTGCTTCAAGTACTTTCTATCTTCGAAATGCATTGTCAGATTCTTGCACCAGTGAATCAGAAACTGGCATTTACTCTTGCTTACGAATTTGGCTAGAATTTAAAAGATTATCCAGGTGAGCAAATTCAAATGAATAAGATTTTATTAAATGAACCATACAGCATTTTGGCCTAAAAAAGTTGTATTTCAAACCAGCTAGTAGTCATTAAAGTCAATTATATTTTCTACCTGAAATAAGTTGAGGTCACATATTGAATTCAAAAGATAATGATATTTATAAAAATACCGCTTTTAATATAATCTCATACACTGGTCAAATATTTTTAACGTTATTTTCAGTTGGTACGTAATTCAAATCTACATTCCATCAGCAATGCTGGTCATCCTAACATGGGTTTCATTATGGATTCATCACAATGGGATCAATTTTAGAATTGTTATTGCGACATTAGTTCTTCTTACGCTAACAGTTTTGGTATGATCTTATCAATTTATATTCCATTATTGCAATATATATCAATATTGCATTTGTTTCTGCTCATATAATAAAATGAGTGCGATAATTATAAAATGAATCTTGCAAACTAAAACTGTTATTACCCGCAGCAGTAAATTAAGTTGCAAATTCAAATGTGTTGTAAAAGTTGGTTCAAAGTCAAAATCAGTTCATCAGTTCACCGTCGGTATGAATTCATCACCTTGGTTACCATAAACAAAATTTTTGATATATCTTTTCCTAATTATTTAGGGCAAATTCTTATTAGTAGGGATTTTAGCTAAAGAAGCGTATAAAATTCTTGAACCACAAGTTTATATAAGTAAAATATATTTTGAATTCCTTATTTTACTGTGATAAATTATAAACAAATACTAACCAAGGTTCCTTAGAAGAAAAACGAAATAAAAGAGAAAATATTCATAAAGAGGTCGCTAATTTAGTTGTGGTTTAAGAAAAAAGGCCATTTTTTTGTTGCTTTGTATTGTATTATTTATATAAAACTCTTGTATTGGTACTCTTAACACTTTAGAGACCTATGAATGTGATCTGGAAAAATTTGTCTTTATTTTCATCAACACCACAGTTAAGTTTGCCATTACTTTTAATTATGTATGTGGGAAATAAACCACAGTGCCAGTGTAATTTTTTTACTGCATTTTCATTTTCCCATTATAATTGTGTGCATTTAAAAATATGCAGACAATTGACTTCATCAGAGTAAGGCAAAACTCGCTAGCAACAAAGAGCCAAGAGCCTCTGGCAGCTCAGATTAGCCAACCAGATTTGGCAAAAAATAAATGAAACAATGTTCTGTCCTCTTAAAATACCAGGTCATTAAAATTGCATCAAATCTAAATTTCAGTCGTCTTCATTCAACGAACGAATACCCAGAGTGTCTTATACGAAAGCGATGGATGTATGGATAGGAGGTAATGCAATTTCGTTCTTGTTAATTTTCGAATGTTTGCACATATTTGAAATATTTAATGGGCTAACCTTGGTTCCAGCATGCTTGTCGTTTATCTTTGCGATGGTTGTCGAATCGATCTATATCGCACATCTAACCACCAGATGCCTTCATAAAATGCGCCCAGGTTTGTCGGATATTGAATGCTCAATGAAATAAAATAGTATTATTTCCAAATAAGATCATGAACTATGCCTGTGGTACCTCTTGTATATTTCTTTATTTAATTTGTTTAGGATAGTTTCTTTTCTCCGAAAAACTTTGTGAAACAAAAAATGATTAGTCCAATCATCCAAAAATTTTTTTTATTTTTATATTAGAATAAAATCCTCTTTTATTATTCTAGAAAAAACGCGAAAAGCACATGTCATATACCAAAGAGCTTTTCGGTATCACATAACATAACATAACCAAAATGAATTTTCAGGCAAATTAAAATTTCCAGAGCCTTTGCTAAAAAACGAAAAATCTATCTGCATTACCGAGCATGTATGATTTTTCCTTACTAAATATTTCTTTATTTGGACGATCAGTTGTTTTTTAGGCAATAGATTTGTATAGAGTGTGAAGTTATCATTTTTTTTTTCATAAATTATGAGTTGCAAATTTTTTTTTTTTCATTTTATCAACAAAAGTTTTCTCATTAAAAATTTGATATTATAAAATTTTATTTAATCGATCTTCAGTGCAACAAGTGTTTTGACGGTAAAAATGATGAAAATAATGAAAAACTCCTAAATAATCATCATATGAGTGTACATGGAAAGATGTGCGCAGATAGAGCGAAATTTCACGCGGATATCAAAAAAATTGACCAACGCATGAGTAAGACGAATATTTACTTGCAGTTATTTTTTTAACTATATTTTTTATCGGAGTGTGGATCAATAGATAATGTTTGCACCAATTAAATTCGAAAATTACTAGACTGGTGAATGGACTGCTTCGGTTGAAGCCGGCGAGTACTCAGCAAAAATTACCTTCCATGATAATTTTGCTGAAAGCAATCGTAAAACGCGATAATAAGAGAATATTACAATATAATTTTAATTTATTGCAACACTGGTATGACTAAAAGTATTAGTCCAAAAATATTTCTAGGAATTATCATCTTGGTTCTCTTCATATTCTTCATAATTTTCTACTGTGTTGCTTACTGGTGAAGCAATTCGTCATGAAAAGAAAGAAGAAGTTTTCCAGTATTATTTGTAATGCGAGTACACTATTTGAAATTTTCGGCTTGATTTTACAAAATTTTTTCTTTTGCAGTCAGAAATTTGTATTCATCTGGAATCTACTTTAAATGTATAAAAGATTATTCGAAGATGACTTGAAGCAGAAGATACTTAAAGATCAGATATGATATGATAAGATATAATCATATCATATATGATGTGTTTAGAAGATCGTATATCAGATATAATTTGTAAAAACTGAAAACAACAAAGTCAAAGTCTTTGCTGGCATTTATGCATACAAAAAATATTCGAGCGAACTTACTGATATGCAAAAAATAAAGGCAATAATTCTTGAACTCTCCCACCATATTAATAATTTCGTTGAGTGCAGCGATGCATACAAATTTTTTATCCAAAATAAATTCCATTTAAAACGATTCTACAAATTTTCAAAAAAGTTAATCATAGAAAGAAAGGAAATCGTAAGTAATTTACTTAGGACATATAGTAAATTAGATAGCATTTTAAATTTTGAATCAAACTTTCAAGGCAGTGATTGCATTAGAGCTATATTTGTGACAATTTGGCTTATTCGAATTGCTTGTCGATAAGTTATTTTACTAAAAATATTGCAAAATACTAAACGCGAAATGTGATATTCTTGATCTTTAGCATAATTCAGTGAGATATCATGAAATGAATGCAAAAATTATCAGTTCTTGGCTGTGCTTATTTAAAACGGATCATGGATCTTTTTGAACTATTGCTAACACTTTCAAGCGCGGATGCTGAGATTCTACCTCGGGTAGGAGTGGATCTTTCAAAAATCCGGATGCTGCTTACTTGTACTTCTATCACTATGTGAATCTCTGGAAAAATTTGTCCACTCCAACAAATTAGCAGAGCGAGTCAAAAGAGAAATGAGAGCTTTCTATTAAAAAAATATCTCAACCTAATATGTGAACAGACCTAAATTTAGAAACGCGTTCGCGAATTATGTTAAATCATTCTCAACGTCTTTTTAATTTAACATTTCTAGAAAAAAAAAGCAAAATTTTTGTTTTTTTATCTTCTGGTTTTAACGAAAATTTTGGGGAATGATAGCATTATCATATTTATTAAATATTAAATCACCTCACTTTTGACAATTTCAGATAGTTTTTTCTCTCAGTTGCACAAGTTTTACTTCAGCTTCAGCTCAGATTGATATTGTTTACGAGATATTCTTCGATTCCGACTAGTTTAAGTGAGTTATGTCAGTCTTAGAATTTGATTTTTCCATTATTTTTATAAATGTTTTTCCCTGCATTTTCTATTATTTAAAATATCTAAATTTTTAAATGATTCTTATAAAATTGTCAGAAAATTATCAGAATTGAGCAATTCGGGATAATATAATTTATGACAGTGATGAATGAAGATTTCATTGCAATCCATAAATCTTGCGAAAATTTCGCAGTTGACTGGTTTCCTTGACCAATGAAGCATATGGGTCTACCTTTTTTTTCTTTAGTTCTGAGCGTTTGTACTGCTGTAGCATATTCATTTCTGCCACATTTTTCTGCCTATCTTTCGAAATCGTAAAAAGTTACTTTTCCTTTTAACATTTAATACTTCTATACATTTTTTCTATTTGCCTATTTGTACTTAACACCACCAAGATTTCAACCGAGATCATTTTCAAATATTGTATTGTCGCCACTGCTCATAAGGAAACCTGTCATTAATGGAGTCACTCCATCCATCTCTAACTAATTTTTTCTATGATCCATTTGGTTCTGTGGCGAATTGTCTCGTATCCTTACAGCTTAACAGCTAGTGAAGCAAGCCAGAAACGATTAGTGCGAAGAGTCGCTTACTTTATATATTAATTTTTTGTTGCTCTAATGATTTGAAATATTTGATATGAGTGATTACCGAAACTCGCTTACTATACTATAGATCTTCTAACTTTATGAAAAATTCATACTTAATACTTCACAAAAGTCTAATTGGCTCAAAAGGAAGCTAAAATTTTGTGAAATTCTTCTTTGCTGCGTTCTGATACTTTCTACAATTTAAGGGTAATATATTTTACGAATTTATTACGTCTTTCTTTTAATGCTCAAATTTTTTTTTTGTGAATATATTACGTTTGCTTTTTTTTTCATGGATGAATACTTAAGAAAATGAAAACAAGGAAATAACGCGAAAATAATTCATATTGCAAGAGGAGAATTATTGAATACTGGGAGCAGAATGGCTCAGTGGGCTTTTGTCAATTCGGAGAATCGATGCTGAGGCTCTGTGCCCCGCAGGAATAAACCTGTTCAAAAATCTGGGTGATGCTGGCGCCTCATTTCTATCGCCAAGGACTTCTTGGCATATTTGTCTACAGTCCACGAACCAGTGGACCCAGTCTAATCAGTAATGTTGAGGGCTCTTAATAATCAAAACTAAATGACTGTACAAATAAGATTTATAATACAAAAGTAATAGAAAAGAGTAATACAGAATTTAAATTTGCAAAATATTAATAAAAATAAAAGTACTCAACTCATAAATAAAAGTATTCATAAGTACTCAACTCAGAGAACTCATAGAAAGCCTTAAGGTATTAACAAAAAGTCAATGCACTATTCCCTTTAATCTCTCCATAAGAAAAAAATTCTGGCCAAAAGAGATCGGATTTATTATTGTAAAAAAAATCCGAGTGGAGCACGTCCACCAGTACATCTGCACTTCTATCTCGAAATGATTCTCTGGAACAATATAGTTAATTGGGTCACCAAAACGAGGAACGGCGTGTTGCAAAAAAAATAAAAGAAAATTGATCAGTGCATTTGACTTTGTTATTC